ATCTTATCACCAGAGATACGTGTGCCACACTTGTTAGATGTCTCATCCTCAGTCGTTCGGCTATTGTCTATTGTAACAGTCTTTTGTATGGCTAACCGGACACCCTGATTAAACGACTGCAGAAGATACAAAATCGAACTGCCATACTAGTAACACGTACTAAAACTACTGCGCACATTACTATGTTTGTGTTTTCAAGCAGTTATTAACGTTGGTCCTTCTTACAATCACGATCTTGTTCAACCATATGTTCCTTCTAGAAACCTCCGCTCTAAAGATAAATTTCAACTTGTGAAACCATCATTTAATTTAAAATCATTTGGTGCTAGAACATTTGCATATCCTGCTGCACACTTATGAAATTCCCTCAACATATCCATTAGATCATCTTCAAATATAGAAGACTTTGAAAACACAGTTGTTTGGTTGTTACGATTAGACTTACTGTGAATAAAGCTTGTGAAAGACAAGGGGTGACCAAGATGACGTCATACTGTCTCCAGTCAATCTATACTCCTTGTTTTCTCGTATATTTTTTTATTTGGTATTTCGCTCTCCCATACTATCTGATTAACCCGTTCAAAAAAAATAGCTTGACATTTTGAAGATGCTTTAAATCCACCAGATTATCGCGTAGGTATCAACAGACTACTTCATCGTATTGCAACACTATATTTTATTTCCATGAATGAACCATACGTAGTCAGAGTTCAATTTAGACTGAAACTTTGATTAACAATAAGTCACTTAATCATTTTGATTTGGATTTCATACAAATTATGTAACAATTCAAAGTGTTCCAACCTCGCCACTGACGTCTAAATAATAAGAAAAAATGTAAGGTTAGAGAGAGAGGAAACAGAGAAGGGCAGTTAGAGAGAGAGGAAATAGAGACGTGACAGTTAGAGAAAAAGAAAATTGACACGGGGCAGTTAGAGAGAAAAGAAAATTGAGACGGGGCAGTTATAGAGAACAGAAATAGAGACGGGGCAGTTCGAAAGAAAGTA